GTTGTGAATAGCCTTGTACCATGTGACCTCTGTGATCATTCACAGATCTCACACGTAGTAAGCAATGATGTCACAAGTGACATCTTGCTTACTACTTTGCATGTGATCACTGATTGGCTAATCAGTGATCACATGATCGGGACCTCGTACAGAGGTCCCGTCCGACGATTGGTGTTTCACTGTGTCCAGAGGACACAGCGGGCACCGGATCGCGGTGCTGCGCACTCCAAGGGAGCGCACACAAGCAGGGTGCGGAGAGGCCGTTTATAAACGCCCCGACCCGACCCTGCACTGCCACTGTCTGGCCGTTTATATGCAACGGCCAGTCGGGAAGTGGTTAATAATTTTCATTTCCATCAAATGATGGGGCATCCCTACGTTCCTAATACATTAATCAGCAGGGGCGTACTGACAACTCATGGGGCCCCCGGGCAATAGGGGATCATGGGGCCCCTGTGTCCTTGCCCAAACTCAAAAAAGCCTATGAAAAAGGTACCAGGGGCATCTCATGGAGCCCTTGGGCAGTGCCCGAGTTTCCAAATGGTCAGTCCGCCCCTGTTACCCAGTCCATATCAGTATAAATATCCAGCATGATATTTTTCCCCATTGAGACCTGATGTGTTTTCAAAGTGTTCTTTTATTTTTTTTGAGCAATGTAGATGGAAGGATCAGATGTTTGCAACTGAGAAGACTTCAACTAGAAATATATCATATACACATTCATATACAAAGCATAACATTTTACAAATGCTTTGGAAAATGCTGCAGAATATTTTTACACTCAGAAGAACTACCTGATTTGAACAATAATCATCCCACTCCTGTTTGGTCAAGCAGTTTCCTTCATGGTTGCGACTGGATCCATCTCTGCATATATCATACACAATCCTCACACAGTTGATTCCATCATCAGCAGGATGGTATCCAGGACTGCAGGGACACCGACTATCACTCGGCTGAAGCAGAACATGATCATTTAAATTAATGATGAATGTCAGCGTCCAAAGAAATGACTAATGTATTTTTTTTTTCATCACACATACTGAGTTAATTCCTCTTCAAAGGAGCAGTTAACAAACAGAACAACATATATTAATCACACTGTTTGCAGCTACAGATTATTTTTTTCATTTACAGCCAGCCTTATATGAGATTTTACAACTGAAAATAAATTAAAATAAATTAACAAAAAAAAAAACATTCTAGCTTAATTCTTTCCAAATTTTTGAGAGAATAGAAAACCTTTTGTTATGTTGGATGCCTATTATATATATATATATATATATATATATATATATATATATATATATATATGGATGCCTATTATATATATATAGATATATATTCTATATATCTATATATATAATATTAAAAAAGAGGTAAAGGGAAACCTTTTTTATGATTTGGATATAATAGTGACGTGCTAGAGCCACTGCCAGGTATATTGTTGTCTGTGTCTTGTAAGGAGATTCACTCTCTAACTGCCCTGATCACGAGTGTCACTGGGAGTGAAAATGAGAGTAAATCCAAAATTCTGACTTGCTGCCAGAATGAAAATAGAGAGTGAATCCTCCAACTAGGATGCCTGTTCCCACGAAAATAGTCACCAGGACAAAAAGGAAAGGTGAATCTCCCCAGTGGGGAAACAAGCATTTACTTTGCTTGTTTCCCTGGTTTCTATCCTTTATTTCCATCTGGTAATAATCTGTCCCCAGGTGGTTATGCTCACCCTTCAGCGGTGTTATGGAGGTAGCTATGGTTGCTAACCAGTCTGGACTTCAAATATGTCTGCTTTTGTTCATGTCTATTATATGGGGGATGGGGAAAATAGTAATTTACAGAATAAAGATAACACTTCCAGTTCGATTCATAGTAAGTTCTTGGATGTTTATGGAGGAGCACCTGATATAAGAGTTTATCTCACTTAAAGGCGTTTTTTAAACATTTAATGGTTAAGTGCATCATATCCTTCCAATGAATTTTGGGGAAAAATCATCCAACTTCTTCAGGGCTTGAGCAGATAGAAACACAACAGAATGCACTAAGGGACATATGTGTCCCCAGATGCCACTAAAGGTGTGTGGAAATATTTCTGTTATTTCCTAACAATAATTGTTTCCATAATAAATGACATAATGAATGTATTGGGAATCCCTCTTATGGGCCAACAGACACAACTATTACAATTATTTCTCAGCCATAGGATGGGGATTTCATAGGCTGGGGTATACTCTACTTTTCCAGGAATGCTTAATAATATTGTAATACAGAAAGTAAAGCTTACAATCTAACTGTACAATCTCCTTTAGATATACCAAAAACTATGTAGTGCAAAAACCTGCTAGACTGAATAAAAATGGTATAGATAGATAGATGGTTTAAGTAGGTTCTCTTATTGGTAAATATAAAGTTGTTTGTACATTATTGTAGGTCAGGCTGTAATGTGTATGGTGACCCTATGACCCAGCTGAAACGCTGCGTGTATGATTTTATTAACCTGAAATATTCTTCCTTCACCAATACAGATGCAGGTGGTCTGCCCTTCTGTAGGTTGTATTGCTTCAGATCCACAAGGAAGGCAAGACTCCCTTCCCACCACTGGGTTATAGAAATTCACTGGACATTTTGAACATTGGTCTGATGCGTCCATGTCTGTTCCAGAGATGAAATAACCTGTTGGACAATTAATAAATACTGCAGTTTAATAAATGTAATAGTTTATTACAGAATAATAAATGTAATAAAGTTCAAACACAATTCACCAAAAAATAATAATTTATAAACGTCTACGTCATTTAAAAACGAAGTGTGATAAGTGTATCAATGTATATATATTCTATGATACCAGCACTAATATGATATTGCTGAAACATCCTAACACAATTTTTTCTTTGGAAACGAGAAATTCAAACAGTCAGATTATAAACAGGCAGAATATAAAGTCTGTCAAAGGCAGTGTGTCCTCTTGGATGACTAGTTTTAGTAAACAGTGACACAGGATAAGAAACAAACATCCACAGTATACTGAAAAAATTAGGCAGGGAAAAACAACAAAAAACATTTCTCTCCTATTCTGTGAGGTCCACAAACATCAGAAAACTCACGGCAATTTAGAGATTACCAGGAGTGAGCTGCTAAGAAGTAATATTGGATACAATTAAACAAAAGTGTGGGCAATCTACTCAGGGGGGTAGTTAAGGTCTCCCAAGAGAAGTGGGGCCTGAGAAGGCACTCAAGGCATGTCATCTTTTAAGGCCAAGTCTGAACTACCGCAATGCTGTGGTGTGAATCAAAATATTCAAGGAAGGCATCTTAAAAAATTTACATCATGGAAACACTTTTAGTAGCAGAGGCAGATCGATATTATTACTTTGAAGTGAAATTAACCACTTGCCCTCCTGAGGATTTACCCCTAATGACCAGGCCTCTTTTTCCTACTCGGCGCTGCATTAATTAAACTGATAATTGCGCGGTAATGCAATGCTGCACCCAAACAAAATTTATGTCCTTTTTTCACACAAATGGAGCTTTCTTTCAGTGGTATTTGATCACCTGTGCGCTTTTTATTTTTTGCACTATAAACAAAAATAGACCGAACATTTTGAAGAAAAATGATATTTTTTACTTTCAGCTATAAAAAATATATAGTAAACTCAAAGTTAGTTATAAATTTAGGCCAAAATGTATTCTACTACGTTTTTGGTAAAAAAAAGTTATAGCGTCTACAAACTATGGTATAGATATTGCAATTTACGCCATTTTTTGCTGTACAGCACTGCACTAGTTTAACTGACAATTGCGCGGGGTCATGCAATACGGTACATAAATTAAATTTATGTCCTTTTTTTCACACAAATAGTGCTTTCTTTTGGTGGTATTTTATCACGTGTGCTTTTTATTTTTGGCGCTATAAACAAAAAAACTTGTGGGAAAAAAAGATTTTTGTTAGAAAAACAATATTTTCTCATTTCTTTCATAAAAAAATATCCAAAAAAACTAAAATTTCATCATAAATTTAGGCCAAAATGTATTCTGCTACATGTTTTTGGTTAAAAAAAAATCCCAAAAAGTGTATATTGATTGCTTTGTGTGAAAGTTATAGCATCTACAAACTATGGTATAGATAATGGAATTTACACAGCTTTTACTTTCTGACTGCCCATCACATTCCTTGAGGTGCTAAAATACCAGGATAGTACGAAAAACCCTAAATGACCCCTTTTCGGAAAGTAGACACCCTAAGCTATCTGCTGAGAGGCATATTGTCAGGGCTCCGGGTATGACCAGAAGTATGTGAACTGACGCAGGGAAACGCAGGCTTCAGATATGTTATAAACAATATAATTTATTAATACTAACAATACAAAACGCAGTGCAATACTAAAACATAAACAAAGTGCAAACGAACCAAACCAAACCACCCACAGATAACAATACATACAATGCAAGCGTAGTCAGGCAGGCCGGGTCAATAACAATCGGGCAGGTAGGAACAGGAGGAGCAGGCAGAGAGTAGTCAGGTCACGAGCCGGGTACAGCAACTAACGGGCAGGTAGGTACAGGGGGTCAGGCAGAGAATGGTCGGGGTCACAAGCCAGGGATCAAACAGGAGAAGTCAGCAGAGGTCAGGATCAAGCAGGGTCGGCAACAAGTCAGTCAGGCAGGAACAGGAACAGGAATGCAGGTAACAAGATACAGGGGCCCATGGAAAAACACACACCAAGGCCCAGACTGCAGGTCTGGCCATCCCTTAAATACACCTCCGTAATCAGCTTCAGGTGTTTGGCTGACTGCAGGGTTGAGTCTCTGATTGCTGAGAGCACCCGCTGGCCAGCCCTGGTACTGCAGCCCACAAGGCAGGTGAGTCCCACCATTACTGGCAAGTCCATTCCTGACAGTACCCCCCCCCCTCAAGGAGCGGCCTTAGGACGCTCCAAACAGTCCCAGCTGGGCAAAATGTTCCACCGCCCGGGTCTGGTAACTGGCGGGATATCAAAGACTGGCACATCAGGCAGAGGCACATCGGGCAGGTGTCAGGGACCATCGCGTCGCATGGGTCTACACATGCGTAGGTGTCTGTCAAGACATGCAGGCAGCAGGGCACTAGGACCCAGGCGCACCCGTCGTCTATGACAGTACTGGGCAGGCACTAGGACCTAGGCTGCCTCTGTCAGGTGCAGGGCGGGCTACTTAAACCAGCCCTGAACAGACACTTGTTGCCGAATGGTCTTTGCGTATCCTGTTGCCTGTGTAGTGAGTACTCTGATCTGGATTGTCTGACCTTGTTGCCTTCTCCTGTCCTGACCCCTTGGCTTGCCTGACTCTGCTCCTGGATGCTCCCTTATAGATCTGATCTTCTGGTATTGACCCTGCGTGTGACCCGACTATCCTTTGCCTACCGTCTTGTACTGCACCGACCCCCTAGTTACCGGCACGGCCTGTCTGACTCTGATCTTGCTCATCCATCCATCCCTCAGGGATCCCCGGGCTCCCTCACATCAGACTCTTAACCCACAGGAGCCTCTGGCAGACTCCTCTACCTCTGGTAGAGATACCCGGTAGCTGCGACCTGGTCCCGGAGCGCTCCAAGTCCATCCCCACCATCAGGGGCCCTGGTGAACAAGTGCTCCGGTACTTAGACTCCGCACTCTGGGGAGGCTCTACCAGGGGACTGATAGAGGTGCTGTCAGGTGGTCCGTTACAGCAGGACTCCGGGCAGAGGCACATCGGGCTGGACTCCGGGCAGAGGCACATCGGGCTGGACTCCGGGCAGAGGCACATCGGGCTGGACTCCGGGCAGAGGCACATCGGGCTGGACTCCGGGCAGAGGCACATCGGGCTGGACTCCGGGCAGAGGCACATCGGGCTGGACACCAGACAGAGGCACATCGGGCTGGACACCGGATCACCAGGCGGAGCAGCAGGCACCAGATTACCAGGCGGAGCAGCAGGCACCGGGCCCCCAGGCGGGGGCAGCAGGCACCGGGCCACCAGGCGGGGCGGCAGGCACCGGGCCACCAGGCGGAGCGGCAGGCACCGGGCCCCCAGGCGGAGCGACAGGCACCAGGCCCCCAGGCGGAGCGACAGGCATCGGGCCCCCAGGCGGAGCGACAGGCACTGGGCCCCCAGGCGGAGCGACAGGCGCCGGGCCCCCAGGCGGAGCAGCGGGCGCCGGGCCCCCAGGAGGGGCGGCAGGCACCGGGCCCCCGGGCGAAGCAACAGGCATCGGGCCCCCAGGCGGAGCGGCGGGCGCCGGGCCCCCAGGCGGAGCGACAGGCACCGGGCCCCCAGGCGGAGCGACAGGCACCGGGCCCCCAGGCGGAGCGACAGGCACCGGGCCATCTGGCGCTGGATCGTCTGGCTCGACAGCGGGCATCGGGTCACCAGGCATGACAGCGGGCACTGGGTCATCAGGCATTGGATTGTCTGGCTCGACAGCGGGCATCGGGTCACCAGGCATGACAGCGGGCACTGGGTCATCAGGCATTGGATTGTCTGACTCGACAGCGGGCATTGGGTCACCAGGTATGACAGCGGGCACTGGGTCACCAGGCATGACAGTGGGCTCCGAGTCAACTGGCATGACCGCGGGCACTGGGTCAGACATTGGATCGTCTGGCATCGGGTCACCAGGCATCAGGTCATTTGGCTCGACAGTGGGCACCGCGTCATCTGGCAAGGCAGTGGGCACCAAGTCACCAGGCACGACAGTGGGCTCTGAGTCAATTGGCACGACAGCGGGCACCGGGTCATCAGGTACCGGATCGTCTGGATCGACAGCGGGCACTGAGTCATCTGGCGTTGGATCGTCTGGCTCGACAGCAGGTATCGGGTCACCAGGCATGACAGCGGGCACTGGGTCATCAGGTACCGGATCGACAGCGGGCACCGGGTCATCAGGCATTGGATCGTCTGGCTCGATCAGTTCATCAGGCTGGGTACAGACATCAGGCTGGGTAGAGACATTAGGCTGAAGTGCGGGTGCCGAGGCACCAGGCTGAACCACGGAAGGCAGGTTCTCAGACGGCAGGCTCACCGGTTTGGATACTGGCAGGATGGTACTGGTTGGAAAGAATTTTCGCTTTTTTCTGGTTTTAACTACTGGAGCACTGCAAGTAAATGCAGGTCTGCAAACAAATGGAGCAGCTGAGGACAGAGAAGAGCTGGAAGATGGAACAGAGGAGGGAGCAGCCGCCACAGAGGACCTCTCCACAGGGCCAAAGAAAGGATAGGTGCAGCGAGTGGGAGCAGGGGACTGGTATGTGGTAGTTAGCAGAGTATACTGGGCCATCACTGGGGGTGCTGTCGGGGATGCAGGAAGAGTGCCTTGAGCAGAGGAATGACGTTGCAAGCTGACTGAGGCTGGGTGCAACAAGTCTGACCATGTCTGCAGTATGGGTTGAACAAAGCTGAGCTTACACAAAGCCTGTCTGGTCAAAGACTGCACTGCGTTTAAACAATCCCTTAATACCTGTGGTGAACATGCAGCATAATGCTCCAAGAAGCAATCCACATCATCCTCTAATAACCATACCAGGGACTCTACCTGGTCTGCACTAAATGGTGGCAAAAAGTCATTCCTGCTTTCAGGGGTACCAGATGAAGCCAACTCTACACAAACCTGAATCAAAGGTTGCACCTCAGAGAACTCTGTGCCCTGATCTACTAGAACATGAGCGATCCGTATACATTCTAGCAGTTGATCCCGGGTATACTCCCTCAGAGTCTGATAAGCATATTCTCTGTCATCAAAAACCAGTAGCGACAAATACACAACCTCATCAAGATCCATCCTTCCCAGCAACAAGCCAAGATGGCTTCCCTGTGCAGCCACTTCTGGTCAGGATTGGCCTTGGTGTAATGTCAGGGCTCCGAGTATGACCAGAGGTATGTGAACTGACGCAGGGAAACGCAGGCTTCAGATATGTTATAAACAATATAATTTATTAATACTAACAATACAAAACGCAGTGCAATACTAAAACATAAACAAAGTGCAAACGAACCAAACCAAACCACCCACAGATAACAATACATACAATGCAAGCGTAGTCAGGAAGGCCGGGTCAATAACAATCGGGCAGGTAGGAACAGGAGGAGCAGGCAGAGAGTAGTCAGGTCACGAGCCAGGTACAGCAACTAACGGGCAGGTAGGTACAGGGGGTCAGGCAGAGAATGGTCGGGGTCACAAGCCAGGGATCAAACAGGAGAAGTCAGCAGAGGTCAGGATCAAGCAGGGTCGGCAACAAGTCAGTCAGGGCAGGAACAGGAACAGGAATGCAGGTAACAAGGTACAGGGGCCCATGGAAAAACACACACCAAGGCCCAGACTGCAGGTCTGGCCATCCCTTAAATACACCTCCGTAATCAGCTTCAGGTGTTTGGCTGACTGCAGGGTTGAGTCTCTGATTGCTGAGAGCACCCGCTGGTCAGCCCTGGTACTGCAGCCCACAAGGCAGGTGAGCCCTGTGGTGAGTCATTCCTGACAGCGTAGGGAGAGGCTGTGTTGGACTGTGCTCTGCTGAGCTCCAGGTAGGCCTGAGAAGCCTGGGGCTAAAGTGCCCTGCCCAGCCCAGGGAGGATGGCGGATCCTGGGCTTGGGTCCAGCGTTGATATGCCCCTGGAGGAGCCTAGTACCGGTCCCGATTTTCCAGCCATTGAGGACCTGGGAACAGCCCCAAGGAAGGGGGAAGATGGCAGCGTGTACCGCGACCGGGTGGTAACCCGTATCAGCATGATAGAGAAGGAGGAAACAAAGTTGGAGAAATTGAGTCTGGAGCTTAAAAAGTTCCGTCAGTCATATGACAGAGTCTGGAGCACAAAACGCCAGTTGATGAAGCCAGGCCTGGAGGCATTGGAAAAGCGGGTGGCCCTCCAAAGCAAGTATGTGGCAGCCTTGAAAAAGAAGAGTGGAGTACTAAGGGAGAAGTATCAGAACGAGACCCTCTTCAAGGCTGCAAGGAGCAGAAGAGTGGCTGCTGTGAGGGGCCCAGTTGAGATTGTCTCCTCCATGGAGGAGCTGTCGGAGACGCCATTGACCGATGGGGAGCAGAAGCAGGTGCCTGAGCACACTGCATCTACCCAGCAGAGTGAAGTTCCTAATAAGGAAAACGCTGAGGCCAGTGAGGACACGGGAGATTCTGGTTCCCTCCCCCCCGGGCAGCAGCAGCCAGCCGATTGTGGCTCACAGATGGAGCAGGCGGAGGCTGTAGGAGAGCTCTGCTTTGCAATGGAGACAGGGCTGGAATATCGGGCGGACAACTTCCGGTTCACGTCGGCCGAGTCAGAGGAGGAGGAAGTGGAAGTGACGTCATGGAAGCCATCAAGACCTGTTCTGCGGGAGCGGGCCGTGTTTGTGAAACTGCAACGGATGCCTAGCTCTGTGGAAGGTAAATTGCTGGCGAAAGCGGGGGAACTGCTGGCGGAGGACGTACCTTAGGACTCCAGGGGACTGGGGAACGAAGCTGCTGATGTCGCGGGGGAGGCTGGTAAAGTGTCGGCTGTTATGTCTGTAGAACGGGTCCCTGCTGAGGTTCCTGGGGATGGTGTATCTGTCCCGGTCTTGGCCCCAGTTCAGGTCTTATCTGAGCCCAGTCCCTTGGGGGGTCCCGGGTGTTTTGCATGTTGCTCCGGGTCCCCCTGGTGGTGGACAGGCTGTGCAAGGGTCTGTTGTGGTGTGTCCCCCTGTCAGTGATGAGGGTCCTAGGGCCCAGGCTGCTGTTGAGCAGGGCCTGCCCGGGCCAAATCCCCAGGTTTCTGTTGCCCCGGTTTCAGGTCCCCAGGTGTCTGGTCCTGCTGTGGCTGAGGTTCCTGTGTCATGACCTGCTTTGAGTTACTCAGCAGTGTTAAGGGGGGGTCAGGAGGCCTTGGGGGTACCCCAGTCACGGGCGGGGAACCTGCCTACGTCAGCTGCGGCGTAGAGAGGTCCTGGGGCGTACAGAGGTCATTGACCGCATCTTGGAGATGGGTTTACGTGCGGTGGACATATTCGCCTTTATTGCCCCGGTGGGGACGGGCGAATATAATCTATCCTTTATGAGGGCTGACCTATTAGATCTTTTTTGGCAGAAATATGAGTTCACCTATGCCCGTAGTCCTAGGTGGGAGGGGATAACTACCAAGCTTGTTTCTCTCCAGAATGTCATCAAAAAAGTAACGATTCTGGTTATGAACGAGTCAATTCCAGTTTCCGATATTGTTGTCTGGTTGGGAAGGTTTGGAGATGTCTTGGGGCCTCTGCAGAAAATCCTGGATGACAGGAAAATATGGACGGGTGGGTGGATGGCCAATGTTCGTCTGAGGGTGGAGGGTAATGTCTTACAACACATCCCCTCCTCTGCCTTCCTGGGGCGGGACCGGTTGATCGTGTTCTATGCTGGTCAGCCCCGGGTGTGCCCATAGGTGCGGGGCTAAGGGGCACTTTGCAGCCACTTGTCCAGTCATCAGGTGTTCACTATGCCAAGAGATTGGTCACCTGGCTAAGGACTGCAATGTAATAAAATGTAATCTGTGTGGCACCATGGGGCACTCAAATAATCAGTGCCCGGAGGCCCTCCGAAATTTGCCGGTGGATGAGCTAGCTGCAGAATTAGACCGTATGGATGCTGAGGAAGCTGAATTGGTGACGGAGAGGGCCAGCTTGGCCTCTGCAGCAGCTTCTGGAGGCAGGGAGGATGGGTCTGAGGTGTCCTCAGTTGTAGTTGCCCCGGTTGAGTCAGATACGGTAGTGGCTCCTGTAGTTCCTTCTGTGGTACCGGTTCTTGCCCCTAAGGGAGGGAGGAAGTTGGCAGAGGCTGCCAAAGGGGCGGGAGTCGTGGAGGCAAAATCTGGGCCTGTCGTACTGGCTCCCCCGGTCCTTCTTCCTCATAGGCGGAGGGGTAGGTCAGGGGGAGCTCCCCAGGAGGACCAGGGTCCTGTTCAGAGTGGGCAGGATAAGGCCCAGGAGAACAGTGAGTGGTCAGTGGTGAGGAGGCGGAATAGGCCTGCCCTCTCCACTGCAGGGTCAGCCTCCTCTCTTGAGGTGGAGGACCTGGCCCTGGGTAATAAGTTTGGGGCTCTGTCGGGGCAGAAGGGGGAGGTCTCGAGTGACCCCGCTTATCCGATGGAGGAAGGGGAGGTAGGTGGTGCTGTGGAGGGAGTGAGGGATCCTGCCGAGAAGTCCAAGAGGAAGGTTAAAAAACGCCTTTCTCAGCCTCAGACTCCTTGATGGCAGTTCCCGCTCCGCTAAAGGTGGCAACTATTAACGTTGCCAGCCTAAGATCTGTAAGTGCAAGAGAGACAGCCCTATTTTTGATCAGTGAGATGGATGCTGATATTTTCTTTTTGCAAGAGACCAGGCTGCCCACCTTGGCTGATATCCATCTGGCCAAGAGGGAGTGGAGGCGTGGGCCATCCTACTGGTCTCTTGCGGCTGAGCCTTACAGCGGAGTCGCGGTCCTTTTTTCCGAGATGGTAACGTGCCGGCGGGCTTTTGAGGTTGAGATTGGTAGATGTTTGGTCCTGGATGTCCTTGTGTGAGGGGCAGGAGCTGCGCCTGATTAATATCTATGGGCCGCAGTCCAAGTGGGATAGGAAGTGCCTTTTCACAAGGATCAAACCTTTTCTTTTTACATCCCGACAGGTGGTCTTTGGAGGTGACTTCAACACCATAACTAGGCCCAAGGACAGGAGGGGCTTCACTGACCACCTGGGGTATGATAGCGTTTTTCTTAATTCTATAGTCAGGGAAGCAGGTCTGGTAGATGCTTTGATTAAAAGAAATTCGGACAGCACTGGGTACACGTATAGGAGAGGTAGCAGCCAGAGTAGAATAGATAGGTTTTTTTTGAAAGATGACTCTGCCTTCTCAGCACCTGAGTGTCGGGGGGTGGAGTTCTCCGATCACTTTATGCTTACTGTGGTTTTGAATGTTTCAGACACGCCCCAGAGAGGAGGGGGCATCTGGAGGCTGAATTCGTCTCTGCTGGAGGACGAGGAGGTGAGACAATCTTTTGAGGT